ATTCCTCCTAGTAATTATGAATGTATAAGATAAGATAATAAAAAGGAAATAATATAATGATTATCTCAAGGACAATAATGTTAATTTAGTATAATGTTTATTTTAGATTTTGACACACTTGATCATTAAATATCATCCTAACATGATCCTCATCCATTCATGACTAAAAAATTGTGTCCAAATTAAAGGAAAGATAAACTATAAAGAAAGAGTTTAATTTATATAATTGATAGTATAATAATTTTTCAAATATTATCAAGTCATACAAAAGAAATAGATTTATTGATATTTTTTCATAAAAAGTAAATAGTTACATTGCTTTGAAAAGAATGTATAAGAAATAACAAATCTTCAATAAAATTAAAATACGATTAAGTAACTAAATGCAAGATACAAATAAGTTATATATATAAATCGAAATGATTCACTCTGAAGAAAGGAAGTTGTTTTGGCATGGTCGAAGAACACAACGAATATGTTAAACTATTAGCAGAAATAGAAAAGTGTGACAGTTAATAAATTACAACCTTTTAAATAATAATCGATCGATCAATCCATGAGTAAGTTAAACTCAAATAAAAAACATAATCATCGTATATCTTTTTTTATATTTTTCAACCGTCAATGACATTAATAAAAAGGAAAAAGGGTAAAAAATGTCCTTAAACTATGCGAAAGGAACAAACATGTCATTCGTTTACAGTTTGGTCCAAAAATGCCCTTGTCTTCAATACTTTGGTCTGATTTAATGGGTCAAAAATGCTCATTTTCCAAATAAATATATTATTTATTTTCTTTTTCAACACATTTTTTTTCTAATAATAATTTTTTAAAATTAGCAAATGTTTATCTTACTTCAATTCAGAATAATAAAAAATGAAAATATTTCTTATTTTATTATAATTATTTTTTATCGTTATATAAATATAAATTAATGATGGATATACTATGATCTTATATATATGACATATATTATCTATCGAAAGGGTACATGAAGTTATTCTATTTTAATTGATAAAATGAGATTAAGAAAAAAAAAATATTACCTACAGTTTTATTTGTTAAAGTGGTTTTAAAAGAAAGAAAACAAGAACAGTGTTCTTTAATAATATTTTAATTAGGAAGAAGATGTGTTTAAAAATATATATATATATTTATTCGGAAAAGAGCATTTTTGACCTATTTAGTAACTATAGGGGAATTTCTGGACCAAAATATTGACGGCAAGGACATTTTTGAACCAAAGTATTGACGGCAAAGACATTTTTGAGTCAAACTATAAAGAGAAAAAGGACAAATATACCTCCGAACTGACGTAAATGGTATGCAGATACCCTTCGTCATACTTTTGGGACATTGGTTCCCCTGTCGTACAAAAACTAGAGCATATATATATACCCTTCACTCTAACAAAAGACTAAATAGGGACACGTGGCACAATCTTATCCGTCGATCCGATATTTAATAAATGTAGGATCAGTGGATAAGATTATGACACGTGTATATCCGTTAGTATAAAGGGTATATATGCTCTAGTTTTTGGACGGCAGGGACACCAATGTCCCAAAAGTATAATGGAGGGTATCTGCATACCATTTACGATAATTTGGGGGTATATTTGTCTTTTTTTCCAACTATAAATGAAGGACATTTTTGTTCCTTTCACGTAGTTTAAGGGCATTTTTTACCCTTTTCCATAATAAAAATTATGAGATACAAATTTCAATAACTATAAAAAAAAATTTAGGTAATTTCTTCTTATCTACTTAAATTCTATATGTAGATAGAAAAAAATAGCAAAAGTGAAATAGTCTAAGATACAATCAAACTAATCCGAACAATATTACTATTAAAAAATGATATAACTCCAAACATTTATAATTTGGGCATGGCCATTCAAATTCCTTTTTGTTCGGTTTTCTTTTGTGACTTCAAAAATTTCAAGACAAATTTGCAAAAACATTTTAATCATGTCTAATTAATTAACCAAAGCCAAGTGCCTTTTCCCATTTCTCAAATTTTAATAATTTGACCATTAATGGTGAGTTTTCTTCTTCTTAACATTGTCTTTATATATTATGATGATAATTATGTTGATTTAGATTTGGATTTTTTTTAATTTTTTTTTTTTTTTAATTTTTTGGGAATTTGTATAGGTCAATATTGATATACATATATAGAGAGAAGTGGAAATGGCATATAAGGTGGATCATGAATATGATTATTTATTCAAAATTGTTTTAATTGGAGATTCTGGTGTTGGAAAATCTAACATACTTTCTAGGTTTACTCGAAATGAATTTTGTTTGGAATCTAAATCTACTATTGGTGTTGAATTTGCAACAAGGACCCTTCAGGTAATTATTCATAATTTTTTTAGTTTTCATCGATGTTCGATATCTGTTAATTTAAAATTTGACTAGTTCGAATATGAGCCAAAAATTTGAATTTTTAAGGGTGAAGCGCTTTCTACGTCTCAATTTTATGAAAGTAATTAAACTTTGACAACTTGAGAAGAGACAAGGATAATAGTTACATTTTCTTTCGTCTCAATTTATGTCGCGATATAATTGGATTAGATATGTAGTTTGAGGGGGGGAAATTTATGATATAAAATAAGTCAGATATTTTGTGATTATGAATCATCAATAAAGTAAGAAAAGTATGATACTTAAATTAAAATCAAATAAAACAGTAATGTCGGCATATCCTCTTTGCAATGATGTGACACATTAGAAAATGTTGTTAATTACATTTCTTTTTCATTTGCCTTGCATTTAGCAATTATGTACCTTTATTTTGACTTTTCATAGCGAAAATTCTGACTCCAATATTGATATGTATGTCTCTCGATCGCTGTATATAATTTGATTGTATTTTCTATAGTGAAAGATCCTAACTCCGGTATTTATATGGATGTCTATATATGATTTGGTTGCATTTCATATAGTAAAAATCCTGATTTCGATACTGAACTTTATGTCCATATATGCTTTGGTTGCATTTTCAGTAGTGAGAATCCTAACTCAAACATTGATATGTATGTCTAGATATGCTTTGGTTGCGTTTCATATAGTGAAAATTCTGACTTCAACACTAATATGTATGTCTATATATGCTTTGATTACATTTCATATAGTGAAAATCCTGACTTCAACACTATATGCTTTGGTTGTGTTTCATATAGTGAAAATCCCGACTCCATCACTGATCTTTATGTCTATTATATATGCTTCAATTGCGTTTTCTATAGTGAAAATCTTGACTCTGATACTAATCTTTATGTCTATATATATATGCTTCACTTGTGTTTTCCATAATGAAAATTCCGACTCCGACACTATTTTTCATGTTTATAAATGCTTTGGTTGCGTTTCATATAGGAAAACTCCTGACTCCGACACTACTTTTTATGTCTATATATATGCTTCGATTGCGTATTCTATAGTGAAAATCCTGACTTCATCACTGATCTTTATGTCTATATATGCTTTGGCTGTGTTTCATATAGTAAAAATTCTGACTCCATCACCGATCTTCATGTCTATATATGCTTTGGTTGCATTTTCTATGGTGAAAATCCCGACTCCAACACTAATCTTTATGTCTATATATATGCTTCACTTGTGTTTTCTGTAGTGAAAATTCCGACCCCGACACTATTTTTCATGTCTATAAATGCTTTGGTTGCCGTTTCATATAGGAAAGATCATGACTCCAACACAACTTTTTATGTCTATATATATGCTTCGATTACGTTCTAGAAAATCTTGACTCCAACACTGATACGTATATGCTTTGGATGTATGGTGTAGGTAGAAGGCAAGACAGTTAAGGCACAAATATGGGACACTGCAGGTCAAGAAAGGTACAGAGCCATTACAAGTGCTTACTACAGAGGAGCTGTTGGTGCCCTTTTAGTTTACGACATAACCAAAAGACAAACGTTTGAGAACGTAACGCGTTGGCTCCGCGAGCTACGTGACCATGCAGACTCTAATATTGTCATAATGTTGGCTGGTAATAAGTCGGATTTGAACCATCTCAGATCAATCCCCGAGCTAGATGCTCGGGGATTGGCTGAGAAAGAAGGGCTCTCATTCCTCGAGACGTCTGCTCTCGAGGCATATAACGTTGAGAAAGCGTTCCAAACGATTTTATTGGACATATATGAAATTGTAAGTAGGAAAGCTTTGGCTGCTCAAGAAGCAGCAGCTGCTATTCCTGGACAAGGCACTGCTATTAATGTTGGAGAGTATGTTGGTAATAATAATAAGAGACCATGTTGTTCTAATTAAGTGAAAAAAAAAGTTGAAATTTTAGCCAATAACCGATTCAAACCGAACCACAAACACTTGTAGGGTTGAAAATGACGTACTAATACTTTTTTTTTGGTTACTTTGATGAAAGAAGTATGATTTTGTATAGTATGGAATTACTTACACATAGTTCTTTTTTTCTTACTAAATGGTCAAAATACATACCTATTGTTTTTACGAGTTTCAGATCTGAACTATCATGTGTTTGTGTTTCCTATTTGAACTATCGATAACTATTTGTGAAAACACACCTCGAAGCTGACTAGACCAAGTGTTAATTGCATACAATCGCCAAAAAGTGTGTGACATCTTAATTTGTCCATAAAATTCCGTCCACGTGGCAGATGACTCGTTAATTTCGAGGCGTGTTTTGATAAATAGTTGGTGATGGTTCAAATCGATAATACAAACACTTGATAGTTAAGGTAGAAAACTTGCGAAAAAAGTGATACTTCAGGTGAGAAAAAGAGGTTTTTATCGTTTTGTCAGGAAATAAAGGATTAAGTTGGTGTTCAATGTGTAGCCTAGGCTTAACAAGCTTACATAGGATATAAGATCGAAAAGAATGCATTGAATAGATGCTCAATCATTGAGAAGGAAGGACGCTTTCAGAGGCGAAAAGGCAATGAGGAGATCAAATAATGTATTCACAATATTTGCATGAAGAAGGGAATGTTCCTGGGATCATTCAAATATCTGATCTTTATTGCCTTTAAACTGATAAGAGTCTCCAATACAAGATAGAATTTTCTATATATTTCATTTTAATTGCAAAATATGTAGACTTATTTGTAAGATTCAAGTTGTATTCCATCAGTATCTCCGGTAGGACCCCGGAAAAAATAGGGGTAGCTAAACCAGCTCTGCATGATCAACTCATTTTCCTCATCGATGACTTCTAACTTGGCACACAGGAGAGGAAATCATCTACGAGCATACGAGGTCAAAGAGGTCACAACGAACATATCATAAAGGAAAATTTCCTGTCAAGCGAATGTGATCCAATGTACTCCGTAAACCATACTTATTCACGGCTGCATAAGCAGCTCTAAATCCTCCACCGTATGCTGGAGAAGCATCATGGGCAATCTGGTGCATGAAAAACTCACCGAGCTTACTCTCTGCTTGAGATGTTCCTCCTTTCTTCGATGATGACCATGTAGACGATGACGAAGCAGTTGATGTAGATGGCATATTTCTTGATCCAGGCACTACCTCTGATTCAAGCCACATGTGGGAAAGCACTTGGCAGATTCCTTCTTCTACTTCAGGGGTGAGATTACGATATCCTGCAAATTACAAAAGTATAATCTTAACAAGAATTCGTTTACTTAGATTACCGTAGCATTTTGCTTTGTTATGCTTTCACTTCTGTTACTTCTTTTTGTAGACTACTTTGGATTGTTTTTCCTTGATCCAAGGGTTTATCGGAAACAACCTCTATCTCTAAGGTAGGACTTAGGAGTAGGGTCTGCATATACTCTACCATCTCCAGACCCCATTTTGTGTGACTACATGGGTACATTGTTGTATAATCCTAACAAGAACGTAGGTTGATCAAGCACAACGAAGTTCTGGTGATGAAACATCCAGATATCTTTCTTTTCTTGAAGATTGTTCATGTTCTTAAAGTTCGGTCCAGACTGACAAAGTTGAAAGGAAGTATCGAATTTTACCTTTTAGACGTAACCAGGCATGCATCAGTTCATGAGCTAGAATGGCACCAGTAAGTAATCTGCATATAGAAAAGATTTGGTAAGCCAATTTTGTCATACAGTATTATTGTCACAAAAAAAGTCCCGGGAATAGACAAAGAACAGTACTCCCTCCGTTTTAGTTTGTTTGCCTTACTTTTCTTTTTAGTCCGTTTCAAACAGAATGTCTCTTTCCTTCTTTTTTTTCACATGGCATGTTTAAGACCACAAGATTAAAAGGGCAATTTGGTACATTCTACGTATCTTTATTTAAGACCACAAGAATCAAAAGTCTCCTATACTTGCTTAAATTCCCTGTCAAGTCAAAACTAGACAAACAAATTGAAACAGAGAGAGTACTAATGTTTCATTCTTACTAACATGTAGATTGACTTTAGTCTCTCTCTGTTTCAAAGTCTAAGAATAATATAATAGTGTGGCTTCATGCCAAAGCACATCTTACTTTCTTTCACTTGAAATATAAGATCAACCATAGTTTCCTCTGCTTCAAAATATCTAAAAGAATAATGATTGGGTGACGTGTTACGAAAAGCTTAGTTTTTTTTCAACAACTAGGCCCTATTCCCAAGCTAGTTGGGGTCTACTAAATGGATCCTCACTGTCCATGTCACTCCATTTAAATCCATCTCAATCCAATATTTAAAAACTTTAGGTTATCTAGCTAGCACTGGAAGTTCTTTATATTTTCCACCGCCATATCTCTTACAAGACCAAAAGACTCCTAATGAGCACTGAACCTAAAGTAAACAGACCAGCAATAATAAAATTAAGTACCAAGCAATTGGTATAAGCCTATATGGATCTTTTTCCTCGTCTTCTTCTTGTCCTTTTCTTTTTCTCAGCGAGCGTGGAGCACCACATGCCACATTGGTTTTCATTTTCACCATGAGGCTAAATGAAACTCAAAGGAAGGAATGAAAATAAGGAGGTTACCTTGGAAGGCCGTATATTACTAGGATAGCTGTAACTTCACATCTTCTAATTAGCTTTTGAGGATGTGTTCTGATTCCTATTAATCCACGACCACCTATTTTTGGCCTTCTGAGTATCTGCATTGTTAAAAAAATTGTCATGGCACCTATCACATGTTTCACTAGAAGAACGGGAAGACGTGTTTAAGCGAGTCTAACATGGAAAAATTTTCTCATGACTGAAGATCTTACACTGGTGACTGTCTGCTCTTCTGATAGGCATAGACCTCTGGTTTCAGGCATATGATGGAGACCCTAAAAGAGTTCTTGAGTTAGTAATCTTCCGAGAGTAAAGGACAGAAAAAATATAGGCAGAGATCATTCATACATGTTTCTCCCCTTCAATGGCCTCATTAAGGGCATGTCTTTCAACAAGAAGCATAGGAACTTGCTGATCTATTTTCATGTTCATGCCTTCATAATAGTCTCTGATGGAATGGTAAAGTGGCTGGCAGTCCCCGGTATCCATGATTGCAGATTCCATGCACTCTAAGCATAAGCTCCGACCATCTCCAAGTGACATATATCTTGCATTCCGTGACTTCAAGAAGATAAAAACAATAAACGAGAATGTGAGTTGAATGAGAGGTGTGATCCAACATGTTTACTGTCAACTGACATCCGTACCTCCAGACGTTCACAACTACAGCACCGTTTGGTATTGTCATTCTCATGTGCAGGGCAATATTTTTGAGACCAAAATGGATGGCATCTGTACTCGATCAAGCCAGCTCCGTTTGTTGGGATCTGCAATGTGAATGGTAGGTCATAACAAGAGGGATGTGAAAGATATTACAGGGGCTTAAATACACAAAATGGCCTCACAATAGAACTATGAACCGTAACTTGGAGTTCTATTAATTAACTTCCAGTAAGAAAAAGTCATATACAGAAGCAGTATGTCCTTACAAATTGATGGCAGACTTCACATTTTGGATGAGTCATTTCCTTGAAGCATGACTTATGATATGTATTGTTCCCTGACAAAGAAAACTTGAATCAACGTAACCAATGAGCTAACATGTCAAAATATTCGAAAATATTCATTTTGTATGAAAATAACAGTCCATTGGTATTATTTTTTAGTTTCATATTTGGCAAAGGGTTGAGTGTTGGGAAAATGAGAGCAACAGCAAGGACAAGAATGTACCTCGTATTCAGTAATTGGGACACCACAAGCACGACAAAGAAAACATTCTGGATGAAAGAAAGTTCCCATGCATCCCAAATAATTGCCAGAGACGATATCCTTATTGCAGCCACTACATTTTCTGCGAATATTTTTATGTGCACATAAGTTCTCTCTTACTCTGACAAACAGCAATCTGGCATAGTTTTCATCATCAAGAAAAGTGCATACACGCACGCAAACACACAAACACACACTTCACTAATGTTCTGCTCAACCAGTTTGTTTGTTTGTTCTTTTTTTGTTGTTGACAAGGGAACTTGCAGCCACTACCCTCCGGGTGCGCACAATTCTACTCAACCTGTTTGTAGCCTAGACATTTGACTTTACAAGCAGTAATTTACCACCAAAAATCAGGCCATGGTTCTTTCAAGACCTCAAATTAAGGAAGTGTATATGTGTGTGTGTGTGTATATTAAACGCATACATCTGTTCAGTGTCTTAAATGTGTTTTTTATTTTTTTGCAATTGGAATAGAATAAAGCTCAAAATTTGAATTTTTGTTTGTTTACACCAACATTCAAGGAGCACATAATCTATCATATTTAGGATGCCGCATGTTACAGTCTCATCTTCAAGCAAACATTGATCAATATTTGGTCTCTTCGAATTAACCTAGACACATAAAATGAATGAGGACACATCTAAAACATCAATGCATTAGTTTTCCTAACTTTCAAAGCAAACATATTCACAACAAATAAGTAGCAACAACATATATTTTTGTTTCTTTTATTCCTTCAGCATTACAACAGATACCAGAGGTACTAAGCCTGCCATGAGAGCGATGCATTAAAGAGATCACAACGTGAATTGCTAGAACTATTTATATTTCAGCTGAGACAATGTATAATAATTGATATCTCAACAATCTTGGAAACACAAGACTAATACCTGTAACTATTGGGATTATATTCCCAAGGAGCATATGAAGGAGCATACTTAGGAGGATATGAGGATGAATTCGAGTTATCTTGAAGCGATCTTGCTAGATCTTCATCTTGGTCAGTCCTCCATCTGTATCCTGAGAAACATAAACCTTTCATTTCCTCCTCAAAAGAGTGAAAATCAACGTTTTTGGAAATGGTAATGCTAAATGCAAGAGTAACTTCACTATTCTTGAACATTTCATGAATGCAAATATAATTACCTTTTGGTCTTTTCAAATCTTCAGCAAGAGAGAGTGCAATTGCACGGTCTAGTTCCTCTTTCTCCTTATTGGTCCTAGAGTTATCATCCTGATGAAATTTTAAATGTGTTGAGAGGATCATTCAATCGAAGGAGATAAGTTTGATTGGAAGGAATATGACTAAGTTAATTTTAGAAGAGAAAAAAGTAGCCATGAATTATTTGATGATAGTTTATGGAAAGCAAATGGCCTAACTTGAGTAATCAGTAGAAGAATTCAAGCATCAACTTCTGAAGGCAACCAAATATTCCTGCCCTAGTGCCCTTAGAACAAGTAGTACAGCTGAAACATCGAAGAGCTTCTCTTTAAATTATAGTTGGCAATAGTTCTTGAAGAACCTTAACAATATGGCTTAAAGTTGACGACTTTTTGGCATAAATTTAGGAGGATGTTAATTTATAAAATGATCAGCTTTGCATGTCACATGTGATGTGGATTAATGTTCGAGTGACTAGAATGGCAGATTGAAGACACGGAGAGACTAAGGGGGCATTAGGCATGAATTCGAGTCCATATACTGTTTCACATTTCAGGATATATGGAATCCTATTCAGAAGGGCATAAATGAAGCTTCTTGAAGAGACCAAGGGGGCATTAGGCATGATTTTTTTTCTTTTTCCTGGATTTGAACTCTGGATCCAAACACGTTTGACCATAAAATTCCGGAATTCAACTTATTTCGGATTTTTCAGGAATTTGGAAAACACCAAAAAAGTTGTTTTCACTTTTTTCACTCGAAATTACTCACAGAAGTTCAAAAACAATTCCAATTTGTATTCATGGTCAAACACAACCAATTTTCAAATATCATTTTTTCACTTTGAAAGCAAAAACTACTTTTTTTCAAATAGTCACATTTTTACGGTCAAACGGCCCTAAAATCCCTCCCAAAAAATAAAGAAAGAAAGAGAAACAGAAAAGGATAGTTGAAACTTCTACTGATACCCCTGAAGTAAACAGAGTAGCATTTTAATAGCATGTCTAATGAAGAGCTTATTCTTTTCCCCATAAACCAATTTAGCTATTGGTTTTGATCAGAAACAGAACAAACTAAATCATTAGATTTCAAACAGTCCATCACAAAGAGGTCCACTACTTTTGCGCACCTATACATTTTGTCATATCGTTATCAAGATAATTATTAGACGATAAAGAGGTCTGCCTATCACATTTTCCAAAGATTCACCGGATTAAAAAAAAAGTTTAAGATGCCAGTCATCATCCACACCAGGAATACAAATACAATAAGCTGCATTCTTTCCAGCCTCCTATTTGAGAAATTTTTCACTTCCTTGGCTTTATCATTGAGTATACATAAAACATTTTTAGTCAAAACTATTATGAATGAAGAATCTTTATTCTCAATAATCCAGCATCCAAAATAAGAATTCTTGTTAGTAATAGAAAACACCAACTTCTTTCTCCCCTCCCTTTACAGAAAAAAAATTGAAAAAAAACAAAGACAAACAAGAAAAACTACCTCAAAAAATTTTACTAATCTTTTTTGTCCCTAGAAAGCAAAAATCTTTCCCACAAAAAGTAGCTATTTTGTTAAAGGCGAAATCGAATTTCAAGGAGATCATGTGCATACCAAGCTACAGAAAATCTATAATTCTCAAAATACACCCTTTGCTCTCCTCTTCTCTCTTTTCTTATGTTTCCTATACTATAAATAACATATATTGACACTACAGATAAAAAAGAGACACATTAAAACAGTTTTCTGTGTTACAAGAACATTAAAGGGTCTATCATAAATATCAAAGTAAAAAATGATGTAAACAAAAGAGAAAAAAATCACCATTGATCTGGCTGGAGCTCGCCAAACCATATTTTCGTCTCCAAGAAACTGTGGTTGCTGTCTCCTATTACCTGACCCACCACCCTTGAAAAGTTTACTCAGCCATTTCATTAATCTTGACTTTCTCTCAGTAGTTGAAGAAACAAAGTGACCTGCTTAAACCCCACAAAAAAAGCCAACTTTATTTTCAAACATAACTAAAACAAGTTTCATGAAAAATACTGAAAAGGGTACTCTTTCAATTACAAAAAGATACAATCTTTGAAGTCTTTAAACCCCACAATATATACCAACCAAAAAAAGCCAACTTTTTTTTCACATAACTAAACCAAGCTTCATGAAAAATATTCAAAGGGGGTACTCTTTCAATTGCAAAATGATTCAATCTTTGAAGTCCTTAAACTCCACAATAAATATCAACCAAAAAATAACTAAACCAAGCTTCATGAAAAATACTCAAAAGGGTACTCTTTCAATTACAAAAAGATTCAAATCTTTGTAATCCTTAAGCCCCATAACAATAATCAACCAAAAAATCCAACCTTTTTTAACATAACTAAACCAAGCTTCATGAAAAATACTCAAAAGGGTACTCTTTCAATTACAAAAAGATTCAATCTTTGTAATCCTTAAGCCCCATAACAAATAATCAACCAAAAAATCCAACCTTTTTTAACATAACTAAACCAAGCTTCATGAAAAATACTCAAAAGGGAACTCTTTCAATTACAATAAATATCAACCAAAAACTCCAACTCTTTTTCACATAACTAAACCAAGCTTCATGAAAAATACTCAAAAGGGTACTCTCTTAATTGCAAAAAGATTCAATCTTTGAAGTCCTCACAACAAATATCAACCAAAAAAACAACTAAACCAAGCTTCATGAAAAATACTCAAAAGGGTACTCTCTTAATTACCAAAAGATTCAATCTTTGTAATCCTTAAAGCCCACAACAAAATACCAACCAAAAAAATTCAACTTTTTTCACATAACCAACTCAAGCTTCATGAAAAATACTCAAAAAGGGTATTCTTTCAATTACAAAAAGACTCTATCTTTAAAGTCCTTAAAACATTACCATATATGCAAGGCTGAGATATATGATTGACACTTGAAGAAGACATTGATTAGGATACTGCGATATGTATAGAAACAGAAGAAATTTGTTGAGATTTTTCAAGATTTGAAAAGGGTGGCTTAAAAATGAAGAGGACAAAGTAGGAATGAGAAAGAAGGGTGTATAGAGAAAAGAAATGGAACAATGGCATCATGTATAAAGCCTAAGTTTTTATGAGAATCTTGTGTGAGAGAAAGATTCTTGGCTTGAACAGAAAGAGGAAATTTGGGAATCTGCTGAGAAGGATTGTGATGGAAAGGTAAACACTGGCAGTGGCAAGCTGCAATTTTGAACGGCTGACAAATTGGGGGGTGTGAGTGAAGTTTCATACAACTAATTATACAACACAAAATTCTCAAAAAAAAAAAAAAAACATTCTTCATTGAATTTTTTTATTTTTTTTAAAGGTTTGGTTGCAAAGGAGGGAAAAGAAGTTTTATTGACAAATGGGACTTCCTTTTCTTACAAATTACATCAAGGTCCCATAATATTATTACTCCCTCCGTCCCATTTTATATGATGTACTTTGATTTGGCACAAACTTTAAGAAAAATGGAAAGACTTTTAAAACTTGTGGTCCAAAATGAATGATAGAAATTTGTGTGGTTGTAAATCATTTCATTAAGGGTAAAAAAGACATTTTATAGGTAAATTGTTACTTAAAATAGAAATGTGTCATTCTTTTTGGGATTGACTAAAAAGGAAAGTAAGTCATATAAATTGGGACAGAGGGAGTATTATTTTGGTTAAATATGGTAATTTAATACTTTGGTTCAAGAGATTAGGTGTGTTATTCTTGTATAAAATTTAGAATTAAATTTGTCTTGTGCTTCACTTGTGGATTTCATGTTGTTGGAGTTTGGTTGAAGGTATTACATAAAATCGGTAAGCTTTGAAAATTTTCTATATAGAAGGGGAATAAGTTAAGTTATAGTCTTGATTTTTTATTTTTTTTTTATGATTGTGGTGTTCGGGTCAACTTTCTCGCATTTCGATTAATTCTACAAGACTATGACAGATGGAAAGAATTTGAGACCTCAAGGTTCTCAATCACTTCATTGACCACTAGGTCACACTCTTGGGTGCATTATGTGATAGATATGAGAATTTGCACATATTCATATCGGTTAGTTAGTTTTTTTTTAAAAAAAAAAAAATCCATTTGATTTTCCTTTTTTATATACTAATTTCATTCATTGTAGACAATTACAAGTTGTTGATTTTTCAGTAATACAATGATCTAAGAAAAAATTATGTTGTTAGTGAAAACAACAAATGACTACGAATTAAATTTAGATGGGAATGACATAAAAAGTCTTTCATAAAACCTAGCATTAGAAATGTTACCACGCTATATAAGATATAAAGTTAAATCTCATCAAATTAATTTAGCCAAAAAAATTGAAAATTTTAAAGCTATGAAACTAGATTCGGATACGAATTTAAATTAATGGTCAAACGCACACTTTAAAACTATCATTCTTTCACGAGTTTCATATCTCAACTATCAATTATCAATTATTGTTTTCTCCATTTGAATTCACCACCTTCTATGTATTAAAACACACCTCAAAGTTGATCACGCTAATTATCAGCTATTTTCTTTTCATACCTAAACTATCACTATTTACTCAACTAGGTGCCTTTTCATACACAGATATGATAGGTTCACGTGGAAAAATGCATAGATGGTGATAGTCTAAATAGATAAAGAAATAGTTGAGGAAATGAAACTCGTAAAAAACTAATAATTCAAATGTAATTTTGACCATTAGCTTTACTGATTTTGACCAAAATTAACAATAAGATGAGTATTTTCTTTGAAAAAATCATTTGAAAAGGAAGAAACTACTTGACTCTTAAGATAGTATAATTGCAGAATGAGTTCATGTAGAAGCATACGTTTAGGATCAAATATAAACGTAACACTATGAAAATGAATGTGAACTCTAAAATTAGAATATACTAATGTACATTATCTAGAAGACACCCTTCTACAAATCCTAGTAGGAAGCACTTTTCATTTTACTGAGAATTAGTCGGATCCAATATGAGTATGAAATATCAGAAAACAAGCAAATCTAGTTATCATAATAAAGTGACACCCTTGTATAATACATTATACAGAAAAGCATAAATAGTTTAAATTTGTTCTCCTTTGACCAATTGGATCTTAATTATTGCTCTTAGCGTTAATATTTTGGTTTAAAATAACTCCCTTTCCACTTATTGGACCTCAATTATCCTTTACGGCTAAAATTGCTCATCCTTCCACTTATTTAACCTCAGTTATCCTTTACAGTTAAAAATATCCTTCCTTTGGGACATTTTTAGCGCGTTTTACTCTTCCTCTACAAGCGAGACTCCATCCGAATCCGTCACTCCTCGGATGAGACCTATTGTTCTATGATCACTGCACCACTGAATTATATTCACTTTCAAGTTCTCACTTCTAACCCAAAAGAACACAATGTCATCAAACCAAACCCTAACCAGGGGCATTTAAGCCAATTTAGGGGCATATTTTGTATCCTTTTTCATACTTTATGTATACCTCTTGTATCGCTGGCCCCCTTTCTTTTATCAAAATCTAGCGTAACCAGAGAACAATCGAAAAGATTCTGGCAATATATGAGAACGACCCACTCTTCAAAAGTCCCCTAATCACCGATAAAACCAGAATTCATCAAAATCCTTTTTTCGTCAAAAATTTACATTATATTTAAATATAACTAATAGATATTAACCTCCTTTAATAAAAATCTTGTCCTATGTCCAAAAGTCCCCCTAGCCCCCTATCATTTTTGGTCATATTGGTCCATGCCAACTTATAACGGTTGTGTTTTTTTTTCTAAGAGAATTTTTCCCTATCTAATGTATTGTCACCAAGTTGATGAACAAAATCAAATGATGCCTTTTGCCTTTCGGTAAGCATTAGATATATACGATGGAGGTTCACCTAAGTATTTTTATAAATTTATAGCTTGAATTATGACGAACTATAATAGAAGAAGATAAAAGATAAATGAGAAAACGTTAAATGAATAAGAACACATATTTATTATTGAAGGAGAGATACCATTCACGTGAAAAGTTAAGAAAATGTAATTAAAAAAAGTAGTAGCTTTCCCATTTGTGGACGAACTTCTCCCTCCGTCCCATATCAGTTGATTGTTATATTAAAAATAGTTGTTTCATATTAGTTGTCCACCTAACTAAACCAAGAAAGCGTTGATTAATTTTTTTTCTATATTACCCTTGCAATCAACTCTTTTTGAAAGTGTTCACATTTGTTTGTAAAATTCTCAAGAAGTTTTTTAAGGGGTGAATTAGTAAAATTATCTTTTATTTATAATTTCTTAAGTCTCATGCAAAATGAAAAGTGATCAATTTTCTATGTAATTTAGGGTGGAGTTATAGACGGAGGGTGGATAATTCGCCCATTTGTGGGGGAAGAAGGATCCATTTTGATCTGTGTTTTTAGGAAGGACCCCTTTTTATATATAGTGCCCAAAAAGTGTCCATTTTGAGGCCGGACTCACTAGAAAAGAACTTTACCTTGCCCACAAAACAAATCTCACAATATATTTACTTCTATAGTTTGCTATTCTCTTCATCTCAAATTATCTGTCGTGTTTCTCTTTTATAAGCCTCTTAAAAAACATTAATGAGGAGAATTTTTTTTAAAAAAGAAACTATATTTATCCTCATTTATGTCTTAAGATATAATCTCTCTTTATTAAATATATACTCTATATATCAAAATATTTGTAATCTTCAAGAACTATTACTACTAAGGATTGAATGAAAAAAAGAATTACTTGTTTTGTCTTTAACTTTTAAAACAACAAATCATTTGTGATAATTAAAAAATCACGACAAATAATTTGAGACTGAACGAGTAATATTAAGTCAACCATGCATGCAAATGTCCTATTTCCAAAAGTCCCCCTAACCCCCTACCATTTTTGGTCATATTGGTTCATGCCAACTTATAACGGTTGTGTTTTTTTCCTAAGAGAATTTTTCCCTATCTAATGTATTGTCACCAAGTTGATGAACAAAATCAAATGATGCCTTTTGCCTTTCGGTAAGCATTAGATATATACGATGGAGGTTCACCTAAGTATTTTTATAAATTTATAGCTTGAATTATGACGAACTATAATAGAAGAAGATAAAAGATAAATGAGAAAACGTTAAATGAATAAGAACACATATTTATTATTGAAGGAGAGATACCATTCACGTGAAAAGTTAAGAAAATGTAATTAAAAAAAGTAGTAGCTTTCCCATTTGTGGACGAACTTCTCCCTCCGTCCCATATCAGTTGATTGTTATATTAAAAATAGTTGTTTCATATTAGTTGTCCACCTTACTAAATCAAGAAAGCGTTAATTAAAATTTTTCTATATTACCCTTGCAATTAACTCTTTTTGAAAGTGTTCACATTTGTTTGTAAAATTCTCAAGAAGTTTTTTAAGGGGTGAATTAGTAAAATTATTTTTTTATTTATAATTTCTTAAGCCTCGTGCAAAATGAAAACTGATGAATTTGCTATGTAATTTAGGGTGGAGTTATAGACAGAGGGTGGATAATTCACCCATTTGTGGGGGAAGAAGGATCCATTTTGATCTGTGTTTTTAGGAAGGACCCCTTTTTATATATAGTGCCCAAAAAGTGTCCATTTTGAGGCCGGACTCACTAGAAAAGAACTTTACCTTGCCCACAAAACAAATCACAATATCTACTTCTATAGTTTGCTATTCTCTTCATCTCAAATTATCTGTCGTGTTTCTCTTTTATACGTCTCTTAAAAAACATTAATGAGGAGAATTTTTTTTAAAAAAAAACTATATTTATCCTCATTTATGTTTTAAGATATAATCTCTCCTTATTAAATATATACTCTATATATCAAAATATTTGTAATCTTCAAGAACTATTACTACTAAGGATTGAATGAAAAAAAGAATTACTCATTTTGTCTTGAACTTCTAAAACAACAAATTATTTGAGATAATCATTCTTAAAAATTACGACAGATAATTTGAGACTGAACGAGTAATATTAAGTCAACCATGCATGCAAATGTCCTATTTCCAAAAGTCCCCCTTACCCCCTACCATTTTTGGTCATTGGGCCATACCAACTTCTAACGGTTGTGTGTTTTCTCTAAGAGAATTTTTCCCTATCTAATGTATTGTCAACAAGTTGATATACAAATTAAATTATGCCTTTATGCTTTTTGGTAAGCATTTTATGAAAATATAATAAAAAGTTAGAAAGAATTATTAAAACGAATA